TAATAGAGATTTATCTATTTAATATATACCTATTAAGAGGCTTTAGTAGTAATACTAACTATAAAGTTAATTTTTTTAATACTTAATTCTAGTAGGTTAGAGTATAGCCTACTATTCTCTTTTAAGATAATTAATCTAATACGCTATATAGCAAATAGAGTGAAAAATGTCAAGCGATATAATATTCTTAGTTCTTATTATTACTAGGTGTTCTTAAAGTAGCCCAGCCGCACTTATTAACATATATTTGCTCGTGCTACGGGAATGTGAATGATCACGTCGGAGGAATTCTAATCCGAATTTCTTAGAATATAAACTATAGCACCTATTTTCTTCGCATACCTACCCTCTCCAAAATCGATGTATACTCGGTAACATTCGATACATATCAACCAAATCTGTAGTCCATTGCTTGTGCACCTCCATCTACCCCTTACAAAAAAAACCTAAAAACTGCCCTCGACATCTAAAAGGTAATAACGACACAAAACTAAAAGCAAAAAGAACCAGGAAATACCCACATCACCCAATGGTTCTATGATGAAAGCGGCACACATCTCCATCTCCCCATCATGCTTACATAGGCGGCCCCCAGCACCACTCCATGTCCCCGATAATTAAGTCCAACTATCTAGTCAGTCGAGAAACTTTTCCCCAGAAAAGAGAACAAAAACATGTCGCCTACCCTCTTCTCCTTCTCTTTGTCCATCTTCACTCCCCACTGTTTCACCTTCTCCCCCCCTCCCCATCCGGTCCTACTTATCCAAAAGATAAAAGGAAAAGAACAAACACGAACCTTACCCTTACTCTCACAATCTCAACCATAACAATACTCAACGCTTCCACGAATTCTCCTGTCTCAAATTGGAAATAAAGAATCCAGACACATATCGCGACATGTGCATCTACCTCTTTTTTTTGAATGTTTCGACAATGGGGTTGCATGTGGCTATGCAGTTTTCCCATTTTCCATATTTGACGAGGAAACAAAAAAACATATTGAAATTTACTAAATATCACGTGCGCATTATGTACTGGTGATATAGGTGCTGCGGGGAAAGAAAAAAAGTGTTATTTTTACTACATGATTTTGGTGGACATGAGTATAAAGGTATTATTTTTTACTCCGCATGATCTGTGAGTTCTTATAAGAAGTTCTTAGCAGAACTACGCATGTGAACAGTCTGATTGTATAATGTTTTCTTGAGCTCCGTCATCTAATCTTTGTCTTATCGAACTCCATACTACAATTTGGCCACGAAAATCAAAAACGCTCAAAAAATTGCCGTCCTAGACACACTTTCGTCGCATCCTTCCAAATCTCACGCATACCGTTAACCTGCTGCTCACTCCACTCCCAAAACGCCTTTGCATTCTCTTTGCCCTGCTCAGAATAATAATCCTGTCTCAACCCCACCACGCGTCCCCAAGGCACAATCCACTCGCTCTCCTTGAGCTTCGCAGCTTCGGGCGCCAGCGCCGCAAAAAGCTCCGTATATGCACCATATACAGGTGGGTATAATATGAGCAGGAAGATCAACTTCAACCACTTAGGCGTATACCTGGTAAGATCTGTACCGACATTTCTAGGATTGAGTGACTTTGGCGAGGAATAAAAAACGTCAGTAAAAGCCCCTCTTTTCCCAAATCAAGAGCAAAAAAGAGGAACCACCAGTAAAGGAGAAGAGAGAGAGAGAGAGAGGAAAAAAGAACGTACCACACTAACCACACCCTCCCCGCCATACCGCCGTTGAAACTCCGTAGCATGCAACACATTCCCTGCCTTACTAACCGAATACTTTGTAGGCGCTCCAGCATCCTTCTTGTAATCCAGATTCTGCATATCTACCCCTCCCTTTGGCGCACCTACATGCGCCGCCGCACTCGACACCCACACCACCCTTACGCTCCCCGCAGATTCCTTCTTGGCCGTCGCAACCAGCAGCGGAGTAAGCAGCTTTGTGAAAAGAAACGGGGCAACGCAGTTGGTCCCGAGCTGCTGTTCGTAACCTTGTTTTGTTTTTGAGCCTTGCGGGGTCAGCATGACGCCTGCGTTGTTGATGAGCACATCTAGACGGGATTCCTGGGCGAGGAAATTTTCAACAGAGGGTTTTATGCCTTCGAGGTCGTTGAGGTCGAGGTGGAGATGGGTTAGTTTGCCTGCAGAGGATGGGTGCTGCTCTTTAATCCACGCGAGTGCTGCGGTTGATTTCTCCGATGAGCGCGCAGCAGCGTATACGGTACCATTGCGCGAGTAGAGGATGCGGGCTAGATCTTTGCCTATGCCAGCTGAGGCGCCGGTCACGATAAAGACCTTGTCTTTGAGGTCGGGCAACGAGTCTTCGGTGAAGGTAGGTGCTGGGGGGAACATCTGGCTGAATTGGTTACCCATCTTGTCTCGTGGTTTCCTGGACGGATCGTATGTTGATGGTTAAGCTTGTAAGATGACGGTGATGGCCTTATTGATAAAGTATTGGAAAACTATATCCCCTCCTTCTGGTCTTCGGAAGATCCGGCTTTTCTCACCCGCTAGAAACGACCCGTTTCAAAACACGTCAGATGTCAACCCAGTTGACGGATTTAACGAAGAATGGTCAATTACTAGATACATTTACCGATCCGCGTGGCATAGAGCCAGATTCCCCAGAGAACGTTGTGGTAGGGGCCCGAGTGCAAAGTGGGCCCATTAGCGTAGCTCGAGAGCCTAGCCTTGACCGGCGGAGAAGGAGATGCGGAGGTGCAAGGATACTAGGGAGCTGTCCAGTCACCTGCCTGAGAGCTAAACGCAGTCTGTCTTTGAGAATAATCTTGAAATGTGGAGCATGGAATTTGGAGCTGAAGTGAACCACGTTGTTTAAATACAAGCTGGAAATAGAGTCAATATTCGATACCATTACCAAGCCGAGAGTCAGCAGTGGTAAGGTAGCAATTTCGAGATGATTGCAACTCAGTTGGAAGTGCTAGAGAACTTTTTGATGGCATCGGGACATGGTAAACATTGGATATATCTTACTTGTTTGCATCCCTTCTACAGATACTACCTAAATATAATTCACTCTTAGAACCAGCGCCTATTTCTTGCTGTTCTTCCCCATAGCAAGCAACGCATCCTGGTCCCTGATACCAGCCAGTTGTCCTTGTTGCGCACGCTTGACTGTAAGCGCAGCAATGAGCGCAGCACCAACACCGGAACCGTCCTCGGCAGGCAGCACCTCAATAGGATCATTCTTGCCCTTTCCATACTTGGCTGGCCAGTCCATGATTTCCTTCAGTGCCTGAGCCTGACGGATCTTGAAGTGAGGGTACTTGCTGAATACGGAACCGTCAGCGCCAACATGCACCTCGCTCCATTTCTTGTGCTTGCAGATAGCGGAGACACCGCAGGCAGTCAGACGAGCAGCGCGGGTACCAATCAGCTCAGCAAGTCGGCGGATTAGCTCGAGTTCAGGCTTCGTGCAGGTGATACCAAGCGTCTCCTGGAACAGATCAGCCGTATCTTGCAAATTCTCGAAGCGGTCTTCTTCGATCTGGGAGAGGAAACCAGCATCAAGAGAATAAGGCTTGTCAAGTTTGCTGGCATTCTGGCCTTCGAACATGGAGCATTCTGAACCCTTGTGAAGATCCAAGAGGACTAGACGGAAGATCTCGCCAAGGTACAAACCTGCAACCATCTTTTCAAAAGTCTGTTGGCCCGGCCGAGGCGACTCCTTGTCAATTATAACGTCATACTTTGTCCGTGGCAGAACTTGGTGTTCGTTGTCAAAGGCGCCCCATTCGCAATTGATAGCCATTGGCAGTTTCGGGTCCAGGTTCATGTGCTTCAGCTTGGGAATAGCACCACACTCCTCCATGTAGGCAGCATTGCACCCCGTACCGAAGATGCAACCAATCTTGATGCTGGTATCGGTATACGCTGAGGCAATCATGGTGCCAGTGGTGTCGTTGACCAGCGCCGCGAGCTTGATAGGCACGCCGCGTTCCTCCAAAGCTGCCTTGAATCCAGGCACGACGTCCACACCCTCCACGCCTTGTACATCGAATCCCTTGGTCCATCGCTGTAGGACACCGTGGTCAATAGCATCTTGCGAGACCGGGTACGAGAAGGTGAAACCGAGGGGCAGATCGGCGAGCTGCTCGCCCTCGTGGTGGTACTCGATAAATTGCTGGAGGCAGTCGGCGACGTAGCCCCATAGCTCATCGGCAGTTCCAGTCTTCAGCTCCTCGGGCATACGGTACTTTGATTGTATAATCTCAAACTCTCCCTTCTCTTCCGTTAGGGTAACCTCGCAAACACGTAGGTTTGTACCGCCCATGTCGAGCGCAAGGTATTTTCCGGTCTCGTTGCCATCGGGAAAGGCCATGCACCAGGTCGGAATCATAGGCTATCTGTGTCAGTGTTCTGCTGCCAGTGCTGCGAGAGAGCTGTAACTCACAATGCTTCCGCCTTGCTCTGATAGTCCCTTCTCGAGTTCTGCAACAAAGTGATCCGAGATGTGCTTGAGCTTTTCCGTGGAGACGACAAACTGCTCCTCCAGCTTCTCAATCTGCTCCTTCAGATCCCGGGGCATGTCCGCCATGGAGCCTAGCACAATTGTCATTCCCTCAGTCTTTGTGGTAGTAGGCTTGGAACATACCCTTGCGGGAAGGGGGTTTCTTTGCGCCTAGCAACACCATGATTGCAGCTGTGAGAGTGAACTAGGTATGACTGGTGTTTGTCGTAATTTATCGTAATAGGCGTTGTGTCGAGACAAAAGTTGAGGCTGGCAGGTGGGAAGCTTCAGTTGCTTGTCAGTGTCGGTACAATGACGATATGCCTGTGGGGATGCTAGGACTGAAGGGAACCGCTCGGCCGTCATGGTCCGCGGGCAATCCCACTTTTTGTAGACAAGATTTGCTTTCTCCACCAGCCCAAGTTGCTTTTGGAAGTAGTTTGGGGAGCTCAGCTTACCGAGACTGTGTTATCATGCACCGTCCACGGTCAAGTCCGCCAATGGCTTGTAAGGATTATTCAACAAGCGTTCAAGCTCAATCGGGGTTGATGGGGACTGAAGCAGAAGAAAGTGTAGGGTGCAATTGGAGGAAGCGGAATCGGGGAGGGGGGATGGATGCGCTCGAAAGCCATGTTGAGCCCCGCCATCCCACGCAACATGGCTGGACACGCCTCCGAGCCTGGAGTGCCGCCATGGACCCCGCCACCCTGTCCACCGCCTGTGCTCAATCATCCTTGGCTTCGGACTCGATGCTTTTGCTTCGTACAACACCTCACCGCAACACATTTGCGTGCTTCTCAACCCGAGAAGCTCTGCGCATTTGGCATCACGCACTAAGGATGGCCTGTTTCTGAATCGTGATTTAAACATAAAAAGCCAGTGTCGAGATACCCAGACACCGGCATAAAAAACCTCATTGTGTTCCTGCACGGGTATCATAACGCCAAGACCTGGGCTTTACGCCATGCCCAATACTAATACCAATCCCCTTGCCCGTCATCATGTGCACGCTGCTCTCAAGACACTTTCTGCAAGTGTCCGGGCAACAACTGTCGAGGGCCCCCTGAGCTAATAGTACTCTGCCTTCTGCTTCCTGCTCCGCTATCCAGTCCAGCACTCAGCGGTGCCCCAAAGCCCGCGCTCTGTGGAAAATGTTCGTTGGTTGCGCTCAGAGGTGCGCCCATCATACCCAGTCCCATCCCTCGTCCGGTACTCGCGTTGTCTCCTCCTGAGAACATGGAACCTCCTCCGCCAGGCGGCGCTCCAAGTGCAGAACGAATCATGCCCTTCATCCGTATATATTGGTATTTCGATCGTTGAGACGTGTGAGTATACGTGGCCATGGGACGCGGTCGGTGCCGGCCCAGGGCGGCCATGATCGAATCTTTCTCTTCGTCGGAGTCAACAGCGCCCGAGGGCTCGAGATCTTCGGGAAGAGGGGCGTTTGCGTCGATGAGTGATCCTGAAGCAAGGTTAGCATGTGCTCCTCCCGACACTGGTTATCAGATGGCATACTTTGTATCTTGGCCTGGTTCTTCTTTTGGTACTGCGCCAATAGCATATCGTACGGCAGACTACGTCCCGGAACAGCCCTCTTGAGACCCATGGAGTGGCTCTTGCAAGTCAAACTCCTGGCGCAGTATCCACCGTTTGGTAGAGACACACCACACTGCCTCTCGACGTCGACTGGTCCTTTGGGTTTCGCACCCTTTTGCTTGGGTTCGTCCTTCTTCTTCTTCTTTGCATTGGGCGCCTTTTCCGCATCTCCATCAAGCTTCCGCTTCTTGCCTTTCTTTGCGCCGTCCCCATCCATGGAAGCGCCTTTGATGGCCGACTTGCGTGACTTACCACCTTCGTCGTCTTCGCCCTTCTCCTTTCTGAGCGCAGCATCTTTGGCCTCCTTGGCTTCTTTCTTCTTCTTAAGCTTCTCTTGCTTCTTGTGGAGACACTCGCGGATATGTGTTGCTGACGATGCGCGGAGCACTGGCCGGCGACAGTGCTTACATTGTACTGTGTCTACTTTGTCATCTAACGGGCGGCCGCTGGGGAAGCCAGAGATTGTCTTCTCGTCAAGAGGGTTGATCACAGGCGAAGTCGTCGACGATGCGGGGGCTTTGTTCTCAATATCTAACCTTACATTAGCATAGTATAGATTATATGCATGCACGTGGTGCGCTGCACACAGAGTTTGGCATACTTGTCGCATCGCTTTCCTTCCAGTTGCCCGGTAGCGATGGTTTAGGCACCGGCTTCTTGATCCTCAACTTGATCCTCGACTTTTCCGACTTTACGACGCCTTTAAGCAAACTCTTATCTAGCAGGCCTGTGGCTCCCTCCGAATTTGTAGGAGTTTCTATAGCGCATTAGTGCCAACGCGCGTGTGGGGTGTGGACACTGCGGCATGAGCTCACCCTTTCGCGCCCCATTCGCGGCCATGGTCACGGCTGCTTAATGTCGGCGGAGCCCTTTAGTGGGCTTCTGAAGAGGTTCCCAAGGTCGCCCGGAACGTGATATCAATATTGCCGATGCCCGGTTGCTTGCAAGGAATGAATCCAGATGGGTATAGACGCGCGTGTTGTTGAAAGCCTCGGATCGGTTGTCGCCCGGCGATGACGCGCTAGTCCAAACCGGTCGATACATCACATGCGCGCGCCATAGCTACTCTCTAGGATCAATCACCAAACAGCCTTCAGTATGACACCGAGTATTGCACACATAATTGAAAAGTAAATAATTCTCTTTCTCTCACTAAAATACATTGTTTGGTCGCTTGTTGCAGTGATAAAACACCATATAGCTGCATATAGTACTGTCAAGTCAAGACAGAATGCGCAGTTCCAAGATAACCACCCAATGCATACCATGGCATACCCAGTGAATCGAGGCCGAAACTTCCAGTCGACCCCTCCAGCGCCATGACATATCCTGTCAAACGCCTTGAAATGCATGTACCGTACTCTGAGCGCTATTGCTCTTGGTATCAACGCTCCGAAATTCGCCAAAATATGCTGTTTCGTCATTCGTAAATATACGCAGGTATTTCAACCTTCCAGTGTGGCGCTTCCGAGCTTGATCGGGATGAAAGACTTGCAACAATATGCAAATCTTGCCGCTGTGGTTTTGCAGCAAGTTCACGGGTTGTTTTCACCATGTTCAACCTCTTGCATATG